CACATGTGCAAGGATTTTAAAGTTGCATGATAAATTTTAGACGTATGATTTATAGGGTTATAATCTCAAGGGACCTCTCTAGTAAACGAATGCCTCATAACTTCTATAGCACTTACCAAAAACTTTAGTGTAAAACTCCATGAACCACTGTTTGGAAGCTTTGAACAAACCTGAGCAGAGACCAAGCCCTCAGCATCCACCAGGGCCTTGAGCATGTCATCTGGGGCCTCCACCCTTTGGTCATCTGTTTTCTCACAAACTCTCTTCTCCAATCTGTGCAGCTCTTACTCCCAACCTATCCCCCTGCATCTTTCAGAGCTTTCAGCTTCTCCTCATTAATGGCCATCAAACCTTCCAAAAGCATTCAGGTCTTTGGCAATTGTCTAATAGTCTTTCTCCCTACATCACTTATCACCATCAATTGCTTTATTTCCATAATTCTAAATACCTTTATTTCTGCTTCAGCAATTCATACACACATCCTTTTCAGTACCCTGAACTGCTCCATCTCAAAAATCACCAACTCTGGTATACAATTAGAAACAAATGGTAAGTTACTGATCACTAGATATAACTTACCCTTTACCCTCAGTCCATAAGCCCCTTCTGGCTTGAGCACTTTCTCATCCATCCTAAATCCCATGGTGTATCACGTCAACATTTTTCAACACCTTCAACCCCTTTTTTTTTTTTTTTTTTTGCCTCTTCTTCCTTCCACTACAACCCACTCTAAGAATCCACAGACTTGGATCAATCTTTCTTTCTTTGCCATTCACTTTTATTCCCAAGCCACTAAGCACAACTAGTGAAGAGTATCCAGCTATTCAAGTTATCACTTTCAATTTACAAATCTCAGCAGGGGCCCAAATTCCCCTTGGTGAGCCTTTTGTACAACCTGGATCAGCTTTTTCCTTACTGGTCTTCTAAATCTTCACCATTCTAAAGCCTTGCACCATCCATAGCCCCTGAATTTTGTAGCCAAAAAAACCCATGGGATAGCTCTTGAAACGATACCTCTAACATTTAGCAGATTATAACCCTTGGCACACAGTTAATGGTTTGCCTTCCTCTGATCTTGCCTCCCCTTAAATCCCTTTTCTGTTTAACTCTAATCATGTCAGCATCTCCAATTAAAATCCTTAAATGTTTCCCATGACTCTCAGGTTAAATCCAAACTGCTCAACTGAGCATAGGAAGCACTTCTTAGGCCTGTTTTCCTCTCCAACTTCCTCTGCTTCCCATCCTGCTCTCTGACCACACCAAGCTAATTACTGCTTCCACAATGGACATGTGATCCTCTGCCTATGCCTGTGTTTATTCCCCTTCCTAGAAGGCTCTCCCCTAACCACCACCTTCTCCTTTTTTAGCTTAGAAAATTCCTTAGTCATAAGACTCAGGCATCACGTCCCCTGCGAAGCCTTTCTCAGTGTTCCTAAGCAATGTTGTTCCTTACTTCTTTGTGCTCTTTTATACCATATAAACAGCTCTGTGATAATGTTATTACCCTGCATTTGCAATTAATTATTTACTCCATTTGAGAATTCTTTGAGTTCACTTCTCTGTAAGATGGACAGGGAAAAAAGGAAGGACAAAATATATTCCCCTTTTATAAACTATTTTTTAGAGCACATTTAGGTTCACAGCAAAATTAAGCAGAAGGTACAGAGTTCTATATACCTCCTGTCCTCACACACCCACAACTTCCCTTACTACTACATTTGTTATAATTAGTAAATCTACTTGACGCATAATTATCACCCAAAGTCCATAGATTACCTTAGGATTCACTGTTGGTGTTATACATTCCGTGGGTCTTGACAGATGTGTAATTATATGTATCCGCCATTGTAGTACCATACAGTGTAGTTTCACTGCCCTTAAAAACCTGTGTTCTGCCCACTCATCCCTCCCTCCCTGCTAACCCTCGATCTTCTTACTGCCTCCCTAGTTTTGCCTTTTCCAGAATGTGATATAGTTGGTATCAAACACTATGGAGCCTTTTCACATTGGCCTCTTTCACTTAGTAATATGCGTTTAACGTTCCTTCATGTCTCTTAACGGCTTAATAGCTCATTTGTTTTTAGTGCTGAAAAGTATTCTGTTGTCTAGTTTTATCACCGCTTATTTATCCATTCACCTACTAAAGGACATCTTGGTTGCTTCCAAGTTTTGGCAATTATGGATAAAGCTGCTATAAACATCTGTGTGTAGGTTTTTGTGTAGACATAAATTTTCAGTTCATTTGGATAAATACCAAGGAGCACAATTACTGGATTGTATGGTAAGTGTATGTTTAATTTTGTAAGAAACCACCAAACTGTCTTCTGAAGTAGCTGTACCACTTTACATTCCCACCAGCAATAAATAAGGTTTCCTGTTCCTCCACATTCTCCACAGAATTTGGTGTGCTCAGTGTTTTGGACCTTGGTCTTTCTCTTAGGTGTTTAATGATCTCTTGTTGTTGTTTTCTGGTTTTGTTTTTTAATTTTATTGGGGAACAACCATGGTCATTGGTTACACGTTGTTTTCATACTACAATGGCATAGTTGACTCTTTTAGGGAGGGCGCATCTCACAGTAGCACATGTGGGGATCCAACCGGCAACCTTGGTGTTATCAGCACCACGCTCTAACCAACTGAGCTAACTAGTCACCCCTCTCCTTGTTGTTTTAATTTGCAATTCCTTAATGACAGATGATGTTGAATATCTTTTCATATGCCTACTTGTCATCTGTATATATCTTCTTTGGAGAGGCCATCTGTCCAGGTCTTTTGCCCATTTTTTTAATTATTTAAATTATTAAATGTTGTTGAGTTTTAGGAATTCTTTGTATATTTTGGACAACAGGTCCTTATCAGATGTGTCTTTTGGAAATATTTTCTCCCAGTCTGTGGCTTATCTTCTGATTCTGTTCACCTTTTATTTTTTTTTTTTTATAATTCTCTCCCTTAGACATTTACATGTAGAACATATCATATACTATAGTACTACACCAAACAGTACAGTTTATCTCTTGAGTGACTACTGTGTGCCAGGAAAATATTCAGAGGGAGGAGTCCTAGTTCACAACCCACAGCCCAATTTTAGAAGAAGTCATCAGAAGTGAGACATCAACCATTTGCAATGCTTTTTCATAAAAAATTGTCTCTGTTTTTATACGTGGTACATCATTCCTGTAATCATTAAAGCTCGTAGTAAATAGGTGCTTTCTTAAGCTTAAGTGATATAGTATACCAGAACTATAATGTCAGTACAACTGAGCATATTGGTGTAATAAAGTAGTCTGCATTTCAGTAAAATACTCTAAAAATCTAATCAGTGTCATTGCTTGCTGCAATAGCTTTCTGAAGCTATGAAAAAAAAATATTTACTTTAATTTGAGGCAACTGATCCTTGTTTCTTAAGTTAACATAAATATCTTCCTTTAAAATGAACAACCCCATTTTTTAGATGAACAAACAGGTATAGGAAAGCAAAGTAACTTGCTAGTACAGCCACCAGCTAGCAATAAACCTGTGAGTAGAACCTAGGTATTGTGTATCATCCCAGTTCAATATTTGTTCTATTGTACTACCATGAGCAGACAGTGCATTGTTAGGGGAGGAAACCTTGTTTAAACATGTAGCAAATGACACAGCCATGTGAAAAGCTCTCGTAGTTAAATACTGGAGAACATACAACACAGAGAGAGATTGAAAGAGAGAGAGATTTTTGCCCTCAGGTAAGCACAAAATAATTCAGAAATAATGGCAAGTTACCCCCCAATAAATATGAAATAGAGTATAAACATAAGCAATATCAAGTGAAAAAGTGGAGTGTGATTCAATCAAGGAAAAATACTCTTGAATTAAATTTTATTCTGTATTCAGGAGGAAAAGTATGAATCGTGAAAGAGAAAAATTAGAATGTTTGAAAACATAGTAACCAGATGGATTGGTTACTACGGATTGAATCACAATTTCCAGTTTTAAGTGTATCATTTGATCTAAGCAATAGCTGTGGTAGTTGAGTAAAGGCTTTCTAGACCATTTTATGATACAGTAACTTAAATGATTGTTATGCTTATAAAAAAATGTTAATTCTCATACATTGGAGTAAGTCTGGTTTTCACTAACATGAGCTAATCTTTGATGGGTTATAGTCCATAATTATATACTATATAAACTTGTTCAAGGAATACCTCTTAGGCACCTGCTACCAGAACACCATCACTTTAATTTATTGGATCTCAGTATAAATTTAATGACAGATTTTTTAAAAAGCAATGGCTCCGGTTTGAAGACTGATTGCTCATTCTGTGTCATGTATGTGAAATGAAGTTGCTGTGTTAGAAAGAATTTTATCCTTGTTAGAAGGATATGAAAGATGCCATTCCATAGCAGAGACTCAATTCAGAGAAATTCTTTTAGTACCAGTCATGTGGCTAAACCAAAATGGTATAACTTTTAGTAGCAACTACTTTTAGTTTCCTCAATGAGATTGTATATCAGTATTGGACACTGGGGAAATATTCAAGAGAAAAAGAAAGTAACTATCTCTTTTAAGTTGAAGATAGGTGTATGAAAGAGTAACTGAATAACACCTCAGTAAATATTTACTGGATGGATGGATGGATGGATGGATGGAATACAGATAAATGGATATCGACCTTGTTTGTTCGTTCAGTGTTAAAATATCTGCCTTGATGCCTGAATTCATAGTTCGGAGGTATCCGTCCTCACAGCCCATAATACTAGGCATCAAAAATAGTCCTTATCTTTTTCATCTGCCCTTTTCCCCACTATGAATACCAACTTCTTAGCCTTCTTTTCTCTTTTCATCAGAGCAACCCAACCTCTGGACTTCCTGTGTTAAGAACATAAAGTGGCAGTGGAGGAAACAACAGAATGCCAAGATATTTTCCATGTCCACTGTATTATTTGCACAACCTCTGCCACCCTGTAGTTTTAAGAGATGGTCAGGTGATCAAGTTTGTTTTCTTTTCCTCTTTATTCTATAGTTATCATGTGATGTAAAATTGGATCCTCGCCCAGAATACCATCGGTGTATACTGACTTGGCATCATCAAGAACCACTGCCTTGGGCACAAAGTACAGGTTAGTCATTCACCCCTGTGGGTGTGTCTGTGCACGCATCCTGCTAAAACACACGTATATAACCTCCTTCCTGGGGTGTACCCAGGTTTGTAATTATTATACATTTTCTTTTTTGAAAGGTTAGGTGAGTTAATTTATTCCTAAACAGTACATCATAACAAGAGAACAAGAGTAAAAAAAGTTAATAATACTTAATATTTTCTAGATAAACATTTGAAACACAGATCTAGAATTACAAAAGATTTTTATCTTTTTGTTCATCCAATAAGTTCTGATCATAATTTTGTCGGAAAAGGAGGGACTGTTGACTTTGCCTCCCAGAAATGTGAGATGAAAACCCAATTATAATGTGATTCTCTGCAACCTCTACTATACCCAAGATATTGGCAAATTTTAAGGACTGAGAAATAAGTATTGATAAGTCAGAGTTCTGTAGTTACCTCCTCTAGACTTTAAACTTTAGTTCCAAACTTCTGTTGTCATATTTTACCTAATCTGTGATGTGACTCCAGTAAAATTGTATTACCCTTTAAACAAAGGTCCTATCAATTACAAATATCAGCTAATGTGGTGACATGTGCTTTGCCATCAGAGACTTGAATTCAAAATTGCCGCCAACTAGTTAATAGGACCCTAGGCGAGTTACCTAAACTCTTTTCGAGCCTTGTGAGAATTAAATACGATGGTTAAGAAAAGTGCCTACTACCTTGTCTGCCACTACTAAAGAAATGCTCGCTGCTGCTATCATTATCATTATTATTTTAATAGGTTTTAAAAGCCTCTCTTTTCAGACACACATAACATTTCAGCCTGAATAGAGAAAGTCTGTGGTATTTTGAGTAGTGCTATAAAATCCTGGTTTTATTGTTTTAAGCAATGATTTCTGATGTTTATTTTTTCAAGTTTAGTGAGAAGGTAGTAAGATACCGTAGCAAGGCTACCTGAAAAAGGCACTGGGAAGCCTGATCATCTCTCAAAGACCTGTGTTTCTAGTCATGGGCTCTTATTTTGAAAAGACCTACAAGGGCCCCTGCGTATATACACTGTGCTGCTGTAATGAGCGTCTTTTCCTAGGTAATCAGATGAGCAGCCGTCTGATGAGCATGCGCAGTGCCAACGGACTGTTGATGCTACCTCCAAAGACAGAGCAGTACGTGGAGCTCCACAAGGGCGAGGTGGTGGACGTCATGGTCATTGGACGACTATGATGGTCACCGGTGGGAGAAAGCTTTGATGCATGTCCACATATCATTGACTGTATCCTGTAATATGCAACGGCACAGCTAGTTTTTCTGATTTGGATAAAAGTTGATCTGTATAGTCAACATCTTGAACTATATTTCAAAAGAATTTAAATACCTTTTAAAGAAAAAAAAAACACCTAAAACTAAATCTTAACAGACAACTCTATTCTGATTATATCAAAGCAAATTTTTCCTTTCTTGCAAATTGCTTTGTGTGTTCAATGCTAGGTCTGATAGCGATAGCTTTTAGTAGACAGCAGTAGGTGCCTGCAGAACTTGTGTTTTCCTCATCTTTAAAAATACAACTACTTATGCTCTTAAATCAAGGCTGTCTGCTTATTTATACTAGCGTAGGCAACACTTGGATTTCCCTTCTTAGTATGCTTCACAACCGCTTTCCAGAGCGCTTCTGCTTGTTCTTTATCATGTATCTCGTGTTTATGTGCACAGTGCCAAAAGAAGAGCGACTGGGCGGGGGTCCTGCCCTGCCTCCGGGAGAACCGTCCCTCGCCGAGCTTCCGGGAACGCGTCTCACCCCAGTGGCCTCATGGCACAGTACTCTTGGGCAGTAACTGGATACCTTTTATTTGAACAAACAAACTGGGGGGAAAATGCTTCCTTAAGTGCTGACAGCCTTTTTAACCAATACATTTAAAATTGTACAGAACAAAAAATAAAATCAAAGACTGATCTTGTACAGATATTAGTGTTACCAGCATTCATGTGGAAATCAAGAGCAAAGACAAAATAATGTTAAACAACTCTGTACCATAACATTTTCTGTAATGATACTGAAACTTAATGAATAAAAAAAAAAAATCCTTGATCATTATATAAAAATCTATTGTGTTGGCCTTGTTATTAAAAAAGAGAAGATTGTCATGCCATTCTGATGGGGTTCTGCCTGGATAAAAGGCATAGTTAAGATGATTTAGCAAGATTAAATGATATAAGGGAAATTTAAAATGTGGTATAATACAGCTATATTATGTTATAGCATTGTGAAAATATTAGAAAGTATGGAGAACCATAGTTGGTCTAGTCTTGCCGGTCATAGCTGGAGAACAACAAACAAATTTAAAGGAAACATAGTTGATAATTTGGGGGTGGGGGGTAACTAAATTCTTATTTTAGATGCCATAAAAACAAATTTCAAACATCTGCAGTTCTTTGGAATGGGGGGGTGGGGGGGAGTAAGTAATGAACAAAAAAATTCCAGGTGAATACCTGGTAATTGTTTGATCATGTTAGAAAGGACATAAGAAATGGGAAAAATCTGTGCTGACCATAGAAAACAAAACAAATAAAATATACTCTATCCACATGGCTCCTTTAATAAAAACTTGGGGGATCTTTGCAAATGGTGGTAACAGGGGACATTAAATATGGTGTAGGGTTTAATTAGTAAAGCAAACAACAAAAATTGCCTCCTAGTAAACAAGGTGCCAAATGATGGCAATGAACACAGCCAAGTTGTAAACAACCAATATTTGATATTAATATTGGTATTTTCAGAGTTGAAAATGAAATGTTCTATATTTTAAATTTTCTTTTATATTTGTAATTAAAGAAGATAAGGTTAGTTAATAGAGGTCAAGTGAAAGACATGAAGAGTGTTTTACCTACATTCATTCAAGAAATATTTATCATCTAATATGTGCTTGGGTACAAGGTACACCATGCTACTACTATTTACTAAGATGAGTAGGGATAGTAGCTGCCATTACACTTCATCAAGGGAGATAATAAAAACACATGAAAGTAACCTGATATTTGATATGTTTGATATTGGAAAATGCATACTATAGTGTGTCCAATGTGATAAATGCCATAATTCAGATTTAGAGAGTTGGAGTTCGAAAGATAATCTCCTACAAGGTAAGATTTCAAGGGGTAAGATGGCATTTTAGTGGTCTTAAAAGAAGTGTAGAATTTTAAAGATGATGATGCAAGACGAAGGGTATTGCCGAAACAGGATTATGCACAATCAATAGTTATTTTTATTATAAAATGTAAGCTCCACAAGGGCAAGGATTTTTGTTTATTTTGTTCACTTACATTATCCCCAAGTCCTTAGAAGAGTTCCTGGTATATGTGTGTATTCGTAGGCATCTGTAAGTATATGTTCAGTGAAACATTTAGAGCTTGCTATATGCCAGGCTCTTTTCATTTGTTTAATTTTCACAATAATCCTATAATGGTTATTATTTCTATATTACAGATGAGGAAACTGAGGCACAGAAAGATTAAGCAATTTGTCCATGATTATACAGCTAGTAAGAAGAGGAGCCAGGATTCAAACCTAGCAATCTGGCTTTCGAGTCCATACTCTTAAACACTAAGCTCTAGAAACAGAAAATTGATATATCTGTAAGACCAAAAAGGTATATATTTGAGACCCAAACTATGAAGTTCTTAAATACCAGGTTAAGGAGTCTAGGTTTATTCTAGAGATAAACTGTTGGAGATTCTTGATCAGGGAAATGCTAGGATCAGAACTATCCTGTAAAATGCTCTGGCAGCATTGAGTAGGATAGATTGGATTGAGGAGAAACTGGAGTGAGACACCAGTTAAAAAGTGATCATGGTTGTGCAAGTGACGGGTGGGAACAGCCTGAGCCGTAGTGGTAGAGGTGATGGTGATGGTGATAAGGAAGTCATGGTGAATGAAAGAATGAAAAGAATTTTATGACCCATTTCAAGTTTTTGAAAGGAATGTAAAGGCGTTAGAGATGATTCAAAGTCTTCAGTCTTGGCTCACTGAGAAAATGTTAAACCATTAACAAAGAAAATAAAGTCAGAAAAATAGGTTTTGTGGAGGAACTGATGAGTTTGGACGTGTGTTTGAGATGCCAGAGGAGTATTAAGGTAGACATGTCCTGTTGGCATTTGAAAGTACAGGTTAGGAATTCACAAAAGAGATACTGGCTGGGTGTAACCTTGGGGATCATTCATATAAAGGGGAAGTGTGAAATGTCAGTGTGGATGGGAAGACTCTCAAGGAAGGGCTTGTCAAGAGACGAGGATGGGGCCTTTGGGAGCATCTTAGTTTGGAGGGTTGGAGGAAAAGGGCCATGAAAGGAAGAGCATTTTGTAGAAGAGAAGAAACCAAGTAGAGCAATGTCCCAAAAACCAAGGAGGAGAGTTTCAAGAAAGAAGGATAATAATCAACTGTAAGAAAGAAATGTCAAGAAAGATGAAGGCTCAAAAGATTTACTGATTAGGCAATCATTCGTGAGCTGGAAGAGTACGATTTCAAACGAGTTGAGGGCAAAAGCCAGACTGCAAAATAGAAACCGTGAATATGAATTATTTGAAGCTTGTGTATAAGAAAGATAGACACAGGATGATAGCTTCAACCAATAACAAGGTGGAGGAAACATTTTTGTTTGTGAGTTTTGAGAAAAGAGAAACAGTAGGGGCATGTTACAAATGTAAGAATGAGATTCCAGATGAAGAAAGAAGAAGAAGGAAGGGTTGGATTTAAGGACCCTGGTGGCCTAATTAGCCTGGAGAAAAAACTTTTCCTTCTGAGTTGGAAAAGGAAAAATACAAACACATTTGAAGTACATACAAAAGAATTTAAATTTAAAAGTTAAGTTTCAATGAAATGGTTGTATTTGGCACAGTGAAAGTCAATGTCATCCAATCTATTTGCATTTATTTGAACAAAATTATTTTAATATTGCACATGTATTGTCTTATGGTTGGTGCTTAAATAAAATACTATAAAAAAAAGACTAGAGAAGATGTTTTTAGATTCTTGCTTATAGGTGTGTGGAAGTAAAGGAGTTCCCTTTAACCTTTTTTGGTTCTATGTTTTGGTTCTTTCAAATCATATCACACAATGAGGAAAAGAACATAAGAAGATTGTTTAGCAAGTACATGCTATTAAGTGATGTTGCATGTTACAGAAAGTGGATTCTTTGGATGGCTTTCATTTTTTAAATTATTTGCTAACCAACAAAACTTTCTGGATCTAACCCATAACCAACTCTTGATCTTCATGAAATCCTAACAAGGTAAGTCATTATTATTGCCAATTTTAGAAAGTGGAGATTTATGTAAATGCAGAATTTAAAGCAAATAAATTATGTATCTTGTTATTCCAATGATGATGGATCTAAGTTAAATAATACATTGCATTTTAACATGCTTGTAAGAAGTATTAAGCCCGACTCTCTACAACACAGTTACATGTTACAGAGTTCATCAATAACTTGGCCTAGAACCAAAAGAATTGCTCAATTCTGGCCATTTTATATGGTCAGTTACCAATATTTCTCCTGTATTCATTTGTGATAATTCAACAACTTATTAAACAAGCATTTTTTAAGTTCCTACAATATGCCAGTCTCCATGCTAGGCACTGAGGATCCAGTGATGAATGAGACAGACTCTGATATCCAACTGGAAGAGACAGATTCTGAGAAAACAAAAAAAATTTTTAATACAGATAACAAAAAGTGTATGCAGAAATGCAATGATATGTTAAAGACTAACTGGGTAGAGGCCTAAATCATACTCAGTTATTGTGTCAGGGTCCAGCGATTTAAAAAGGCAGAAATCACCCTAAGGGACTTAAACGTAGGAATAAGTTAAATAGTTGTTGGAGACCTGGGAAAGCACAAAGGAAACATTAAGATGTCAGAGATAATAACTATAGGAAGCAACTACCTAGGACTGGGGAGGTGGGCGGAGGAAGTTAATCAGAAACTAGCTCAGAGTTTGGACCCTTTGGAGCTAGGACTCGGTCATCTAAGGAGAGGGCACTGCCCAGCTGCTGATTCTGAGAGTGGAAAAAAGAAGTCTAGAGCCAGTTGCTGTTGCGAGGGTGACACTGACAGAAACAAAAAGTAAACAGGAAGGAACACAAGACCCTTCTTCCCTCCCTCTGCTTTCAAAGCTCCCTGTAGCCTAATGCAACCTACTGTTGAACCTAACAGGAAAGTCGGCTGGCAAAAGAAATGAAGTTTGCAGAGTTCCAGCCCCGGCACCACAGTGCGGAATGCCATGGGTGATTTGAAGCTGAGAGAGAATCACTTGCCAAGTGACGAGGGAAGGGCTCTCTAAACAGGTAACTTTTGAACCCAGACCTGAAGAATGAAAATAAGTTCCACGTGTTAAGAATTGAGAGTAGAGCATTTCAGACAGAGCAAAGGGCTTAAAGAATACAGCATCAGAAAGGAGCCAAAAGTATGATGAGGGAGCGGGGAGCAAGATCATGCTCACAAACAGATGGCTTTTGGGTGTTAATACTAAATACACACCCGCACACCCACTCACACCCACACCTTATATGTCAAACATTCTAAGAGCACTGACGGTTTAAGATATTTACTAAACACCCATTGAAGACAAGGCAACATGCTAAACAAGGGTTCCTGCAAACAAGGAACTCAGTCTCTCTGCCTCCTACACCTGTTCCTCTGCCTATATTTTCTTTTCTGGTTAACAACACCACCATTTACCCACATTCCCAAACTAGAAACCTCTGACTCATTCTTGTCACTCCCCACATCCATTTAGTCACCAAAGTCTGTCTACTAATCGTACCTGAATTAACCCTTTGTTTTCCATCCCCACTGCTACCACCGTGGTCTCTGCACCTCAACAGTTGCCTTCCCCAAATCCATCCTTCATGCTGATACCAGAATAACCGATCCAGACCATAATTCTCTGCATAAAATTCTTTAGTAGAAAACTGCTGTAACAGATGAGGTCCAAGCCCTCGGTAGGGCATTCAAAGCCCTCGTCAATCCATCCTGCCCTCCTCCAACTTCATTTTTTCCCTCTCCAACTTTATGTAACACCAGACTGTTTGCTGTTCCACCTTTGAACCATGTCATTTTCTGCCTCAGTGCCTTTGCTCAGGCTGGCTAATCTTTCAAGATTTAGCTTGGACCTTAACTCCTCCAGGAACTCTTCCCTAAATCCCCAGATTGGACTAAGTGCCCCTCATCTGTGCTCCCACTTACCATTGCATCTTGTTGGAATAATCTGCTTACGTGACTCCTCCCCTCACTTGACAATAAGTTCCTTGAGGCAGAGACTGTACTTTGTAGCCCCAGCATGGCATAGTGCCCAGTAAATAGTAGGTACTCATTACTGACCTGACTGACAAAATTGACCTTGTAATGAAATCACCAAGGAACCAGAGACAGAACCTGGCAGGAAAACTTCATATCACAAGCTTAGTACATGCAGCAGAGAAGACCCCATGCCGGCATGAGCAAGCGGGCACGTCTCATCAGGGGCAAGGACAGGGAGCTAATGGGTCATGGACTTCAACAGAGATCCTCAAATTCTGACTCACGGCAACTCCTCCAAATGAAGTTATATGTAAGGTTTTATATTCTGTGCATGTTTAAAAGCATTGATATTTTGAAGGTAAACGTTTAAAATATGCCATGAATTTTATTTCCTCCTGCTGCTCTTTCTTCACTGTTTAATATACCAGTAGCCTCAAAAAAATGCAAGTGAGATACTATCAAAGAGTTTCATGGAGGTGATACAATTAATAACATCACCTTAGAAGAAATGAAATTAGATGTATGCAAAAATGTTCTCTGGCCCTGAGGGAAGAAGAACAGGGCCATGGAAGTGGTGATCATGCAATAAAGTGCTAACTGAATAAATGGGTGAGTAGAAGTCTGGTCCATGGCGATCAGGTGACTAGAAGACAAATATGTCCATCTGAGTGAAGGCGTTCAAGATACAAGACAGGAAAGAGAGTGTCTGAGGCAAAAGTAAAGGAAACCCTTTGAGGCTGCAGAGAGAGGCCTGCAGGCTAAGCCAGTTCTTCATGGAGAGCTATCACCAGAGCTTGATGCCATTAAGCAGTCAAGTTACACATCTGGCATGCGACCCTGCTTCTGAGAAAACTGCCTATGAGAGAGGATGATGATGTCCCCCTCACACCAACAACTGATCCCAAATGGAAGTTAGAGTTCTTGAGAAAATAGGAATGCTATCCTCCTCTCAAAAACTCGGAGAGTTCATGTTTATTCTGAGAGACTGAATATTCTCTGGGCCCGGTCAAAAGCAAGTGTTTCAGTCCAGAATATGGTAACTCAGAGGAAGTGAATTCACCAAGGTAATGCATGCCCCGCAGGCCTCAATGGTCAGCCAGTAACCCCTTGTGCCCTTCCATCCTCATGAGCAGGTGAGAGGGTAGCTACGCAGGTGGGCGTCGGCAGCCCTTTACTAAAACAGAAAAAGTGAAGAAGGACAATATGGTAGGGGAGACGCTCCTAACCACACCGGAAAGCAGACAACAAACCTAATCACATAACGTCAAGAGAAAAGACCTTCAGAGAGAGAATACCACATATTTATTTATAGTCATCCAACTATTCCTGAGTGCCTACTATAGCATGTGTCCAGAATACGCTCGACGCTGGAGGGACGAAGAGAAAGAGGCCTCTGCCCTCTAAGACTGCCACGTTCTTTTGAGGCTTTTCCTCACAGAAGGTCAAAGTGACTTAAATATGTTTAAGTCTCTGAAAATCAGGATATAAGGAGACTGAATGATAAATTATTAGTTGAATGATAAATGATATAAAGTGTTTTTGATTCTCTCAGCATGGGATCTTTTCCACGGTGATTTTACTGCTACGCTGACTTTTCTCTCCAAGGAAGCCTCACACACCTGAACTCCCACTCCTGAGCCGCCTGGGCTCCGCTGGAGTGCGGGCCACGCTGACTCTCAGAAACAAACCTTTGGGCTGCTCCTTCCCAGGGCTCTTCTCTTACCTCAGTGCTTCGGTCAGCCCATTGTGACTCAGGAGCAATAGAACAATGCCCAGAGCAGCCTGGCTTCTGTGCTGCTTTACTAAGTGGTTAGTTGCCTGCCCTGTGGTTATGTAGACATAAACACGCTCTGCCAAAGAAATGTGAAGAGTATGAAACGTGTTATTTGGAGATTAATGTCCTAATATACACCCAGGAGACCTCCGGAGGTCTATCTCAGCCTCACCTCCATGTAAGTGACTCTCTGGTTACTGCAACTGGAGTGACAACCTGAGGGCGAAGCAAGTGGATAGTTCAATGGATTTCTAATGATTCAAGGACCAGATGTCTGTTTTCTTTTTTATCTTCCTCTTTTTCCTTCTAGTTTCATTTCTTGTACCATAACCAGAACAAGCAGGAAAGCTCAGAGGCAACACCTGGTTACTGAATTTCTTAAAAATCATTTCATTGAGAGTTTGAGGTGGAAATAAAAACACGTTTTCCAGCTTATCTTCAAATATTGATTTTTCAAACTGTTACCCCAGTTTTCTTCCATAAGTGACTGAGAATTGAATGAATCTGTGGAAAGACAGTCATTTTTAATTATGCAAATGGGAGAGAAGATTGAGAACAGATTTTCTGTTCAGAGCTGAAAGTTTAGTTGCAGGTTCCATTGTCAAAAGAGAAGGGGCCACAGTAGTCAGAGCTTCTTGAAGGTGTAATCAGAATTGCAACCTAGAATTGTGACGGACCAATCCTAAAAGTGTTTATTAGTGTGTTAAGTATCTTAGAAAAAAATCATCTAAGTAAATGCTATGCTTCAAAGTGCTATGAAGAACTACCCTCAAAGCACCAAGTATCACAGAGAACAACTTTAACAGGTGACGGGTAAGCAGCATCATTTAAGACCTTTCATGTAATTCCAGACATAACACACACAAAAGAAAAAGATTCTGGGTGGTCAGTATATGGGTGGTCACTATAGAATACTTACAACTTTTCAGTAGGTTTAAAATGTTTTATAATAAAATCCAGGGAGAAGACCACATGGGAAAGGTAAATAGCAAATACGTACAGGGAACATTTTATGGATATTTATAGACACCCCTTTGAATTAAGCAGTCAGAGAAGCTGACAGAAACACTTTCAGGCTGGCTCCCCACTCCCACTCTCTCCCCTTCCCAATTTCCATTAAAACTCAAACTGTCAAGATTCCAAAAAATTCCCAAGGACTCTAGTCCTTGGAAAATGAAGACATCCCACTGACACCATAGGGTGAGCATACCTCTCATTGACACTCTTCTTAGCCCCATTGGAGCCTTCCTGGGGCATCCTTGGAACAGTACTTGGGGAAGTCCTGGTGACATGGAATGTTCAGAGCAAAACTGAAGGAGTTCCACCCCAAAATGTATACAGCTCACTGCTTCTCGGCTTAGTTTCCCCATTAAACCACTGGCATTGGCTTCTGGTCTGTAATCAAACTTAACTGTGGAATCTCTGTACCTTTCCTTTTACTAAAAATAGTCAACAATGCTTTTTCAAATGAAAATTTTGCTGTAATTCTGCAGAAAAGTGCAACCTGGTGTAAATACCTGCTGAATTAATCTCCACTCAGAGTTGAAAAAGAGAGGAAATAAAAAGGATTGACAGAAAAGAGCACTAATTAAGAGAAAAACAAAGAATGTAAAGACTCTGCAAGTGATAGGATAAGTTGGAGTCCATCTCAAACAGAACCAGATTTCTTCCCACACTCCTTGCTTGGCAGCACAGTTCAAGCCCTACCTATACTATTGTTCTGCCTCTTGCTTGCTGAATTAGATGTATAGGACATTTAATGGGCCTAGTAAAAGGCATAAATTATTGGAAAAATATCAACTGTGATTGTGAAAACTGATATGCAATCCTGGTAGAATAAATTAGAACAAAAGGTTCTGTGTGTCTGTGAAATGAAGCTAGCTGTGTATTCCCATGATGCCCTGCAGCAGCCCTGCTTTCTTCTGTGCTTTAATTCACACATTCACTCAACACGTATTTATTGTAATTCCATAATATATACATTCTTTGGTTCTTTAATGTGATTCATCTATTTTTAATGCTAAATTTTGCTTTTTAGTTATGAGTTTTACATTATAGACCTATACTGCACATGCACTATTAATAAAGTAACACCATATGAACTTTCATAGAGAATGTGCAAAAATATGCCTTGCTTTATTTTTGAAATATTTATATAGAACCTACAAATGTTCAGCTTATTAATATGAATAACATTATTGCAAATTTCACTTGCAGCTTCTCTCCGCTCTGACTTTTCATCATAAAGGGTATGGTCATATCATTCTCTGATATGCAACGGTCACAGGGTGACTAAAGAGAGACATAAATGTACGCTTATTAAAAATTTATGCATGGGTAATGATGAAAATATTCTAAAATTAGATCCTGGTGATGGCTGCACCACTCTGTAAATATGCTAAAAATCACTGAACTGTTCCCTTTAAATGAGTGAAGTTGATGGTATGTAAATGATATCTTAGTAAAGCTATATTAAAAACTGATCCATGGACAAAATTAATAGAAAGACAAAACTATCTGTAAAAGTCCAGCCCACACAAATCAGTTATTCTGAATCACCAAAACTAACAACAATATCTCAGTGAGGGCTGTTCATGGGGTGAGAGGGCGGGGGCTGTGAGCTGGCTGTCCGGCTGCTCCTCTATCATCTCCCACCGAGAGCACAGCTGAGCACGGGGAACTCAGAGTGAGAACCTGGAATCATCTGCTGCTTTTGGAGGAGACATGATTTCTCAAACATCTGTTAACCATTGGGCACAATTAATTTTGGCACATCTTACAACAGATTGTGATGTTCCAAATAGGTCCACACCATAACTGCTGACTTAATGTTACAGGAAAATAGGAATATCTATTAAATGCACTATATAATACATATTTATGTATATATGTGTGTATATATATATATACATATATATATATAAAATGTTTGTAAAACTGGAAAGACATATATATACCAAAACTTTTAATACCGTGCCTAGATATTGAGAGTAAGCCTAATATAGTTAATTTAAGAGCTGACCCTGCTTTTGGACCATTGACAAAATGCATGGTGTTGTGTATGTGTGTGGCCAAGATTGGTTTCACAGAATAATTCATGTGTCTTAGGAACAGTGCAGTCTTGACTAATTAACCAGGATAATTGGAGAGATGGGGGGAGAGCATTGTGATGCATAGATTGACAATCTCAAGTCACAGTTAAAAGAAAACTAGCTAAAATTCAGCATACATTTACCATCTATATACATAATCCATAGGTGTCAAAATAATTCCAGAACAAATGTTTCAAAACAAAAATACAATCACACCAGAGATGATAAAAGACGCTGTTACATTTTCTGCTCCTTGGCTGACCTCCCCCTTCTTCCAGGGCTCAAAGTGGGTGAGAGGGAAAACTTCCAGTCATAGCTGCAAATCCGCTGAAGCCCTTCCCTTCCTCTCATTCCCTCCTCCCTGTCCGTGGCCCTGAATCTACAGCTACCCCTGCTGCCCTGGGAGATCATCCACTGAATGCTCTCTGGAGGGATGTTCTCATATCCAAGGGACTCTGGAAGCCACACAAAGGACTGTGAGGGAAAGGGGTGTTGTTCTCTGTTCCCAGTGGCCCTGTGGCATCTACTGATTAGCACATGTTTGTAAACACTAGACATACTCTGCAAGGTGTGGATGTTGTCACTTTATCAGAAGAATTTTTTTTTCAAAAATGTGCACTCTAGCATGAACTTCTGGATGAGCAAAAATTGACTACTGCATTTCATCAAATCTAAGATCCATTAGTTATAAGATATAAGATTATTTTATGACCACTGAAAAAGAAAAAATACTGCTAATTACATAATTCAGTGTTTTCTTATGAGAATTTTTCCACGTATTATCTGTCATCCTCTGCACCACCGTCCTCTGTGCATGTCTTAAAGGAACGCTCCACTCTAGTCTCTGGGACCGTCTTCCGAGCCTCCAACATGCATTCTGCAAGCTTTGTCCTGGAATTTTCTTAATCTAACCAGAAGGTGTGAACAAAGCATTTCCAGGTACCCTTTAGGAACATATTTTAAATACTAATTAAATGCAACCCATGCAGTACAATCGATGTACACAATTTAATGTGAACAACCATGCGATTGCCCCAGTGGAGAGTGACCACAAGGTACATTTCATTTTAGAGTTGTTCAGCAGAGGAATAATAACACTTCTTAGAATGGATGAAATTTGGGGAATATGAAACTAGCTGTGATCAAGAGGGAACTCAGCCCAGCAAATGCTGGGTAGATTATATTTTTTGACACAGGGTCAGGTGTGGTAGACCAACATAGGCACCATGTAGGGGCTCACTATGTGATAGCCATAGAGTTCAGTGTTTTCTATACAGCAGTGCATTCAGTCACTCCAACACTGCATTGAGTTGGGTAGTTTTATCCTCATTTTATAGATGAGGAAATCACTCAGAGATGTTAGTTTAGTAAAATTGTCCAAGGTCACAAAAAGTAGCAGGTGATAGAGACCAAATATCAACCTGGAGGTGTCTGACTCCAGAATCCATTATATCCCCACCATACTAGTTTCCATACTGGCCTTATGTCACTTGAGTTCTGATAGCAACTATAGCAGCAGTTCACCTGGTCCAGATATTCCTGAAGGGGTTAAGTCAGAATTTTATGGAGAGGAGAAAGAATTGTCTATAGTGACTATAATCCCAATATGATGTGAGAACTATACACAAGTGACAAAGTAGTGAGCATAAGCACATGTAAGTACATACAAACATACAACAACTACCAGCTGGGAAGTTAGAGAGTTGTTTAGGCTACTCTGGCTTATGTACAGAAAGAAAATAACTCTCAGACTTCTTCCAACCCTCCATTGCACGAAGCTTATTTGGGTCTACATTACTTCCTTTGTCACATTATCAAATAGCCTCGTTGGCTGTGTCAGATCAACAGTGAGCTATGAACTCATGACTGCCTGGTTCGACTCCCCCAAAGACCATGATGAAGGTCATAGACAACAGCTCAGCTCAGCCCACATACATACAGACAGCAGCTCTCTGACCATTTCCCCCACCTAGTTTAGCTAGAAGCACTCTTTCTCAGCCATGGACCCCACATTTGAAATAAGAGCAAGGATTAGTATTGGAATTTGCTTCCTTTGTATGCACTTTTATTTTCTATTTTTGTCTTTTTCACAAAAGACTTCATCATGAAAAGGAGGAAGCCCAAACTAACGTGAGTTTAAAACATTGTCTCCAAGAGAGGATCGTGACTTGGCCCTGAATTGAGGTAAGAAACAGGTGAGACGATATTGAGCTACACCACCACCCTCTCCTTCCCTTTCTCTCTCCCTCTTCCTTTCTCTCTCCTTTCCTTTTCTACTTCACTTCCCAGGCTTTCTTTTCCCCTTTCCTTCTTCTGGAGCTCAGAGTACTAAAGATGCCACTTATAATGATCAATTTCTCTAGATCTCAGTAGGAAACACGTGAACTAATATGAGAGCCTGAGCTGAGCGAGACCAATGTGTAAGAAATCACAGCCGTTCTGGAAAATGAAGGGTGGTCAGTTGCTGTGGTGTTGCTTGAAACCCTGACCCAAGAGGTTGCTGACCTTTGCTTTCCTTCCTCAGTTACACCTTGCTCTCATCAAAAAGTGCCCTTTTCTAATGATTTCTTGTCATATCCCAGAAGATCCTCATATATTTGAGCCCACAAAGAATCCAATTGACATTTTGAGCATTTGCTGTGTCCTCTGGTTCTCTAAGGCAGTGTCAATGTCTCTCAACCCCTGAGTGATGATGGAATTAATACCTTGTCCTACTGGATAAGTTACGGAGGAAAGAATACATAAATGACAATGGGCATTATATACTTTTTTCTAACCACCCAATCACTATGAAAATTCTTCCATTGCTATTGCAAAGCTCTCTCCTTGGAAACCTAAAGTAGCTAAATTTAGCTTTTTGCACTCATGGTCTGAACCTCAGAATTCATCCATCTCCCTTCCCTCTCCTCTCCTCTCCTCTCCTCTCCTCTCCACTCCTCCTCACCTGCTTATACTCTCTCTTTCCTTGTATTAGTATTCCCATTAATTTTTTAAACAATCACAAATTCACAGAAATATTTCCTGAATCTTTTGAGAGTAATTTTTCAACTCGATGCCCTGTTATCCCGAAATACTTTAGTTTCTGTTTCCTACAATCAAGGACATTTTTCTGCATAGCCAAAACATCAAAATCAGGACATGAATGTTGCATATTACAACGCTCCAATCCTGAAACCTGTTCAGATTTTGCCAGTTGACCCAATAATGGCCTGCTTAGCTGGAGGATCCGGTTTGGAATCACGCACTGCATTTAGTTGTTATGTGTCTTTAGGTCTCCTTCAGTCTGGGACAGTGCTGTGGCCTGTCTGTGACTTTCGTGACACTGACATTTTTTAAGACCACAGCCAGTTATTTTGTAGAATGTCCATCAATTTGGATCTGTCTGATGTTCCCTAATGATTGGATTCAGGTCATGCATCTTTGGGAGGAATATCACAGAAGGATGCCACGTGCTTCTCACTGTATCCTGTGTGGTGGGTGTACTGTTTTGATTTGTCCCATTGCTGATAGCATCCACTCATCACTTCATCAGCGGTGTCTGCCTGGCTTTTTCATGGGAAAGCTACTTTTTTCCCCTCTGAAATTAATAAATATGTTGGTGGGAGATAGTTTGAACTATCAATATTCTGTTCCTCGTCAAACTTTTAATTTATTCACTTACGTATATTTATATCAGTATAGAGGCTCATGGTCTCCTATTTTATTAGGTCAATTCCCCTGTGTGTAACCGATTCCGGATCTCTTCCACCAGCCTTCTCCTGTTTGGGCGCCCTTCTCACCCAGGTTCTTACACTGGGCTGCACCCCGCCTCGCCTGGCAATAGATGCCCTCTTCCTGCCTCCCTTGGGTTCTGATCCGTGGCTCCCCATTCTCCCCACTACAGTTTCCTTCCTTTCATCCAGCGAATGGATTTAGGACTAAATTGTTCAGGAAGATACAGGAACAGGAAGAAGGGGAAAGACGCCTTCTGTATTCTTTGGTTCCCTCTCCTTTTCCTCTTTCCCATCCATCCTGAGCTATCCTGACCCCTCCTGCCTTTGCCAACTCACATCCATTTTTCCGAGCACTCAAGGCAGGATTGGACCTTAAGCAATGACATGAACTCCTCTAGTCAGATTATAGGGACTAACAAGCTGTGTGACCTGGGTAATTTCCTTTCCCTCTCCAAGCATTAGTTGGCATAGTGTATAAAATGAACGTCTTACTAATGCTACTTCATGGTGTTACCAGAATTAAATGAGATAGGGCATGGAAAGCCTTTCTTATAGCCTGCCACGTAAGCAAGCACTAAATACATTCTGTTGTTATTTTTCACCCTCTCTGTTTTAGGTGACTGTTGTTGTATCCTTCCCTTTTTTTTTTTTCTTTTCTCCCTAATGCTGTTTCTTTTGTCTCATTCTTTTTACATTTTGGCTTCTTTGGGCTATTTTCAACTTCTTGGTGTTCTTGACTCATTTACTTTCCGTATGTTCATGCGTAACCTGCACGAAAGGGGGGCACTCACTGAGTCGCCACCAGCAGAAGGTCTGGTGGGGAATTTCCACGCCTACCCTGCCCAGCCATCTGCTCATAGGATGTCAGGCAGTGGTGGTCTCTGCGCCCCACGGCCCTGGCTGGGACGGCAACGAGACATGTTCACTACTTACCCATTAGCTTGGATTAAGGGGTTAAAACAAAAGTCTCAGACAAAAGACTGAGGTGGAAATATGTATACTGGAGCTACTGCTTGCCGGCTAAGGACTCTTCCTCTAACTGGCATGAAGTTTGTGAAGAGGGAAGGGTGATCTTTTGAACATTTGAACAGAATTGCATTCCGGAGCCGCGTTCCCCTCTTAGAAGTCTGTCATTTCTAGGAGATGACAGATAGAATCCAGTGACATAGAGCCATTGTTGTCTGTTGCAGCAGTATCCAGAGAGAGAGGGCAGGAGATGAATGCTGTCATTGATTACACTGATATCCACTATTTACCTCCCAACCAAGAGCTAAGCCTCAGCCATGGGTGAATGATCGGAAAGAAATGTTCTCAGTTTAGTATAATCTTGATACCCTACTTCCAAAAAAAAAAAAAAACTTGAGAATCCTGCATGATGGAAAGGGTAGTGGTACCATTCATTAGGGAGACAGAAAAATAATGGTTTTGGGGACATGGGGCCCATGTTGCGAGGCCCCCTAGAGAAGCCTTCCCTAACCACCCTAATTAATTGGTATTTCCAGCCCATCCCCCCAGGCACTTTTCATTCTGTGTATCTGTTCTAGAGACTTTTGTGGCCCTTATCATCCAACATCTTTTATTTTTTTTAACGTGCTTACTTTCTGTTTCCCTATAGAGTGTAAGCTGCATGAGGGCAGGGATCTCATCAGTCCTGTTCACATGTATCTCGAGTGCCCAGGGCAGTGCCTAGTATATCATAGATGTTCATAAAATGTGTTGAATGAATTAATGAATAAGTGAGACTACTTAAGTGTTAACTAAATTTTCACTGTATCTGTTCATTGTGTTTCCACTTCCTCAGTTTTCTGACGTCTGTGTGTAAGTACAATGAGGAAGACAGACAGGAAGCCTTCCAGGAGGATCAGTGAGCAAGCTGCTGTCTGCGTCCCACCCTCCCACAGTCCAGGAGATCTTCAAACTATGTTGGATGGGGGAGAGTATGCCCCTTTTGTATCTCTTCCCATGTTAGAGAGCAATTTTATCCAGGTAAATACATGAGCCCTGAATTATGTTACATAACTTCAGTCATTCGCTTTCTCAAAGATGACTGAAAAGGTTGGGAAGAGAATTGTTTTAAATGTGGCAAAGGAATATACGATACAATTAAAGGGAACAGTTTTGGAACTTTAAACGACCTAAAACAATTGTAATGTGAAAGAAAAATTCATTTCGAATTTTCCCAACTCTAACCTAGAAATTCTGTCCTAACTCTACAGTAACTGTCATTCTATCATAATCGTCCCAAAATTACACAATGAGATTATAGGCATTTTTAGGATACCCTGCCACAGGAAAGCATTCACATAACTCCTTTCTTAGAAGATATTTTAAAGAACAATATCTGTGACACCACTAGGGTTTAAAATGGCTCTTAGTTCTAAAGATAAAATATAATTGTCAAACTGTGTCAGGGAGAAAATTTTCCTTCTCATAAAAATGTACCTACAGTATGAATGAAGCTACATTTCGATGCATTTGGAAGCAGTTCTAACTTTCCTCTGAACATTCAACATTCAATCATTCAAATAAATGGAGAAATGAGTTCAATGGTGTGAGCCATGCCCCTAAACTTCCCAGAAATGCCATAACCAAGTCTAATGTGAAATACACCCATTCAAGCAGCTCCTGGACTGATTCCACAGAGGGGTGACTGGGAGACCACGGACAGGTCTTCATCTTCTACCAACATGTTCTCTGCACTGACAATTGGATACCAGGGAGAGCTCCTCACCTCCAGAACACTGTAGGCAGGAGGTGACACTCATGTTTAAGTGATGTCCCAGAACACGTGTCATAAGTCATAATTTTATATACTTTACCTCCCAGATGCTTCTTTCCTGTTAATAATCTTTATGTTTCACAATTCTTCCTGCACACTTTTCAAATCACCTTTGCATACTGTAATGAACACTGAGGAAGATCATTAGCGTTTTATAGACCAGACCTGACCCCATATCTACCTAACCAGATACATTATTCCCTTCAACAAGCACAGCCTCTCGTGGTTAGCAAGTCTTTGGCAGCAAGTTACTAAGGTTCCCTAGTCAACAAGCTTAAATGAAAAAGAACAACAATGATCTCAAATAGAGTGCAAGAGCCACAGGGCATCAGCTCAGCCTCTTTTTGCTCTGTCAGCCTCAAGGTAGGCTCCCCTCAGGCCATCACATGCAAACAGGACAGTGACAGCTGCCAGCAACAAAAAAGATGCCTCTCATTCTTACAACTCTCTGTGAGGGCTCAGGATCCTTTCCCAGAGCCACCAGGAGGCCACACCTAGTCTGTCTCATTGGCCACGCCTGGGTCACATGCCCCTGCTGAAAGCAAGCACTGGCAAAGGGATGGTGACTGGTTTAGGTCATTCAGCATTTAACCCCTGAATTGGGGCGCCATCCTTGAGGGGTGGACAAAACCAGAATCCTGTTAATCAGGAAGAAGACAGGAATGGCGTTGGGTAAATAATCAATAGTGTGTGCTACCACCTCTTTCTGAGTATATTTGTTTTTAAGTGATTTTTTTTTTAACCAGTTATTGTTCTGAGAAAGTAAGTGTTGCTTGGAGCGTCTCTGGCTTCCTTCACATTCCTGTCTGTCCACTTTCCCGTCTCCTCCTCTTCCAACTGGCAGAGATTTTACTGGCTGAGATTCTTGGGCTTTGGGGCTTTTGCACAGGCAGTTCCTCTGCCTAAAAAGTTCTGCTGTCCACCCAGCCAGTTTATCTCCCACATTGTTCAGGTCTCAGCGAGAGGTCCCTTCTTCAGGGGAGACTTCTCTGACTTTACGTCCAGGATGTCTGGTGACTGATTGGTAAGTGTTTAGGAAGTTTGCAAGTCAGTTGTTAAAAATTAAATTGTATAAACTTTTACAATCAAATATATTATATTCAAAACAAAGGCAACAAATACTCAAAACTCATCATTTCTATTATTTCAGTACATTTTACTATTATCTATGCTCTTGAGGTTATGGATACAAGAGTTTGGCAAAGGTCAATGAAGAGCTTCGTGAGAATAAATTGACTCAATGGGATTTGAAATAAGTATTGTATGTCATTATTTGTAAGCTGTGTGCTACCCATATTTTAATCAGTAAAATTTATAATAAATGTATATGTATATACCTTCTGACATGCAGTTGTTAACATTTTACCAGCAAACGACTACCTACACCCCCCTCTAAGACAAGTTCTCCGGTATGTGCCCCACAGCACAGCACCCTGAACTTGTACTTGGTAACACGTCTTATAATAATAATTAGTGACATAGCTGTTTAATGTTCATCTTCCCTGGTACCTCCACGAGTCAGGGACTGTGTCTGCCTTTTCACTGTGATACCTCCAAGAATTCATATGAACAAGTGAGTGAACAAATAGATCAGATGGTTTATTTCTCCTTTATTTCCTACACTGCTCAGGTAAGCAATGTTGTTGAGACCATGCACTTTATCAGATAACTGCTCTTCCTGTTCTCTGCCTCAGGTCAACAGGAGAGGTGAATCCATTTATCTCCATAACCGAGCCAACTGGGTGACTGTAGGCATTTGCTCTTCCGGTCACACCCACAAGACCCCCAACGTGATGCTGCTGGCGCATCTGACACCTGCTGCCCCAAAAGATACAGAACTCCTGTTTAAAAGTCTCCTGACCTCTTCTTCTCCAGAGAAATTGGTGCTCACCAGGTGAGTTACAAAGGGAAGAGGCTAAGGTGTTCTCAGAAAGTATGCTTTACCCCTGAGGAGCTGAAAACAGAAACACGGTGACAGTTGCCCCAAGGGAGCATTTCACTCGCACTCCCTGCTGCAAATGACAGAATCGCATCCTAAAAGTCTGGGAGAATCATTTACGACAGCCTGGCAGTCAAACAGGAGGTTAATTTTAAAAAATATTTAACTTAAGTAACAGGAACTGAAGGCTCACACTGCCTCTCTAGAACATGTCCCCCACTCCCCCACCCCAGCACCCCAACTTCCATCAGAATTAGCTCTGGTCTCATTTCAAGCCACCAACTTGCTTTCTGACCTAGAGCAAATCACTCAACTTCTGTAAGTCTCAGCTTTTCTGGATTAAATAGGGCTGCTTCTCCTGGCAAGTAGTTGATACTCTGATATTTTAGTTCATCAGAGTATGTACTAAAGTAGTATAGTGCATCAGTAGTATGACTCAGGTGAGATGGCCCCCAGGAGCCTGATTACATGTACTAAAAATGAAAGTTCTGAGCTGAGGCTGAGGACCAGACCCAGGAACTTGGTGCCCACGAAAAGGAACTGCCCTGCCCCATGCCTGCCCCTATCCAGGCCTGTGTAGAATACAAACCTGTTGTCCTAAGTGTCACTCTTCAAATTGCTACAAAACATAAAAGGAAAGGCCTTTTGATAGGTCTCCCTTCAGGCCTCCAGATGACCTTTGTGTTTGTTTGCAGGTTTCTCCCTCTGCAATTTGTGACTCTTTCTGTGCATGATGCTGAGAATTTGCGCCTCAAGGTAAAGCTGGTGAGTGGCCGATCCTACTACCTACAGCTCTGTGCCCCTGCATGCAAACAGGACACGTTATTTTCTCAATGGGTAGAATGCATCTCCCTCTTGAATCAGGAGAAAGCCAAAGCTTCCAAAATGTCGAAAATCTCAAGCCTCTCGGAAATCACAAATAGCACGGACATCACAGGCTCCGGGGACATCATGGATATCGCCATGTTCACCGCTGTGCAGACCCCACAGGTGCACGCTGACCCCATACATGCCATAGAAAGCATTGATTTCTCAGAATTAACAGACATCACCGATATCACCGACGTCACAGATGTCCCAGAAAATGAGGCCACGGAGGCCCCGGACATAAACATTTTCACAGAAGTCACAGAAGTCACAGATCTCTATGATGTCAAAAATACCTCTATGATGTCGGGGGTCAGAATGGTGTTTGAAAATGATGACATACTAAGGGCCAAGCAAGAGGAAAAGGTATGTGACATGGAAGACTTTCATTCTTTAATAATCAAGAACAAGAATGATAACCAAGATCACTCTTCTTGGTTAGCTACCTGACATTGATCATCAAAATGCTACAGAACTTACTCTGAGTAACCTAATTTTAATAATGAGGTCTGGTGTGTGAACCCTGGTGTAAATGAGTTGTCAGATGTCTCCTGAAATAGGCAGTGACAATCCTTACCACCACACTTACCCGAGAATCAGAAAGCTAAGGTGGGATGGAAAGAGCTTTGGGATCAGAGTCAGGGACCTGGGTTGGAATCTTGCCCTGCTGCAGAGGAGTAGGGCCAAGTCACAGAACCTGCAGGAGCCGCCATTTTCTCATCTCTAAAATGAGGATATTAATATCATGTGAGGGCTATTTTAGGGTTTAAATGTAGATAAAAGTACACAGTACATTGAAGGGTGGGGTAAAACTTTAATAAGTAGAAGCGAAGGTGGAAATGGGAAAATCAAATACCAAAGAAGTGAGGGGCTATAAAAAAGGCCAGAAAGTGGAAAACCACAAAGCCACACCCAAGAATGGTTAGTTCAGTTTGGCTGGAGCATAATACATGAGGAGACTGTTAGGATATAGGATTTGCAAGGTTACTTGCAAACCTTGAATGCCAAAATAAGAAATGTGGACTTCACTCTTTGGGCAAACCTTAGCCACAATAGCCCTTTCTGTAAGGGCGTGAAGCAGCTCTGCTTTTAAGAGATTAATCTCATAGCAGAATGGATTGTAGATAAAGAGATCAGCTTGAAGACTACTGCTGAAAACCTCCATGGGGCCACAATAAAAAAAAATAGTAAAAGGCAAGAATAGACATTTCACAGAAGAAGCAGCTTCCAATAAATATAGTGGGAAAAGTTTAACCTCACTAGTAATCAAAGAAATGCAAACTTAGGGAAAAAATTAACTTATAAAGCTGTAATTAAAAGAAAAACAGTAAATGTTAGTAAAAGTGTAGTCGACTTGGAATTCATATAGATTCATGGTAGGGATGAGAATTAGTATAAACTTTCTTGAAATCATTCTGACTCAAGAACCTAAAAAGGTTCATACCCTTTGACTCTGATTTGACTTCTAGAAATCTTTCTAAAGAAATAAATCAGAAATAGAAATTAGGATTTAGCTATAAAGATGTTAGTCAGACCACATCTATACCACATTTACAAAAATGAAATAATGAAAATAAGTAACCTAAACATCCACGATGGGGAAATGGCTAAACAAATTTGAATCCATGAAGGGTAGGTGCCTTATTTATCTTATTTAGGACTGACCATAGTATCTGGCAAGATCATAGGCCCTTGGTAAATATTTGTTAAATGAACGACAACTCAGTAGCTATTAAAGTTATTGAAGAATTTTTATTTACTTGGAGAAATTTTCATGATATAAAGTTGAGTGAAAATGAAAACTATGATCCCCACTATATACAAATACATTTACACACACAGACAGTAAAAGGGGGAAACAGCATATTGTTAACAGCAGTTTATTTCTAGATTTGGGGATTATAGGCAATTCATGTTATCTTCTTTATACTTTTATGACTTTTCTGTTTCCTACAGTAAAAATAATTTATTTTTAACTAGAAGAATTTAATTTTTAATGACATGAGGAAATTTTTTATAATAAATAGTTAAGAATGTAGGATATGAAACGAAACTATGATCACAAAGGAGTCATATACAAAATAAATAAACAGACGAAAAGACCAAATGAAATGTGCCACAGAAATAGTTATTTCTGGCCAGTGGCATCAAACAAGCAATAATTTTCTTCCTTTCACTTTATATCTTACAGGATTTTAAAAATTATTCTATAATAAATATGCATTACTTTCATTGTCAGGCAAAATGCAGTTTTATCTTTAAGAAAGAAAATTATTACATTATTTGCAGGGAATGGTAACAGAGGTGACAGACTAGTTAGTGGGTACTTAGGTGCAGAGTGAGGGATGTTAGGAAGACACAGTCTTTAGAATCACTGGCCGATTGCTCCAAGGCCAGTGAGCGACTGGGAGAGGTGATGTGTTCACAGACACCAGGAAATTAGGAGAACAAGAGAGATTTTAGGGTAGGTATAGGTTTTAGGTATAGGCTCTAAGTCTTTTGAAAAACAAACTCTTTAATATTATTATGAACCTCCAACTCCTATCACCTATTAATGCTCTTAAATCAAAAGCAATCTCAGACTGGGGAGTAGGTGACAAGACATTTCTAGAAAACCTGCCTTTCCCTGACAATTCAGGGAGAGGAAGTACTGTACTTAAGTATTCATTTTCTTGTGTGAGGTGACCTCAGTGTACATGACCCCATGAGCTTTCGAATGTGCTGTGTCAGGTCCCCACAGCATAGTGCCAGCCTCCAGCACCTGCCTGGCCTCCTCCATGGCCACGCAACATCAAGCCCCCTTCCCTTTGCACCTGTGCACTCGAGGGCACTCAGTAAATATGAATGAGATGATGACTGTTTTAGATACTGCTCCATAAATAATCTATTTCTGTGTGATGCTCTTCTGTTACCTGATTTGCTGCTGCTTATTCTTTTCAAAGGAAAAAATGGAAAACATTCTGAAGCCTGGGTGTCTACAAGATACGAAAAGCAAGAGTGAGTTAAAAGAATGCTCAAAACATGTCGCCATTTCAAACATAACACTAACTTTCGAAGGTGAAAGATGTTTTCAGACTACCTTGACTCCAGAAGAAAGTGAGACAAATACATTCAAAGAGATCAGTGACAGAACCTCTGAAATAAGTACAACTGATTTTAAAAGCACGGCTCTGATGGCGGAAGAATCCAGGTATGTGAGTCAGGGAAATGCTGAGGGATGCTAAGACATGAGGTAATAGAAATGTGTGTGCTTTAAAAGTCCCTGCAACTCCAGCATTTGTTGCTAAAGATTCTCAGATATAGATACAATGTAATCGAATGATAATATAGTCAGCTCTTAATTATCCACATTCAGTTCAACCTCGTCTGATTTTTATTTTCATGCACTCTTCTCACACCAAACCATCTCACTGATCTATTATTCCTTGATGGTAACTGCTGAGTTCTTTCAGTGGAACTAAACAATGACCAGTAGGACTATTGGTAAATCTGATGTGTTAGAGGACAAAAAAGGACAAAGATAAAGGGGGGGAAAAACAGGAGAGAGGGAGAATAAGAAAAGGAGACAGAAACAGCAACCATCAGTCAGAAGTAATGAGAGACAGAAGAAAGAAATGTAAGATGAAGAGGGATAGAAGCAAGTACCACGCAGCAGAAAAGATAACTTTCGCTACTAGGCACCAGTATGGCTTTCATAGAAAAGCATAGATTGATAACAAAATAAATTTAAAAACAAGATAAAAATGAATTCATCCAATTTAGCAATTTGTCCTAAATAATAATTGATCAGGTCTGATCACTCTAATGTCTTCCTTTGGCTTCATTTCATTCATACTCGTATGTCTCAAATTCTATGTCCTGCCCTTGTCTAAGGCATCAGAAACACTACAATTCAAAATCTCACAAGGTTAATTGTTTACATCATTTCAACTTCTTTCCTTGCCCTTTGCCTATAAAAAAGGCCTTAAAGCATTAGGTTAGCTTTCAGTGCCTTTTAATAAAACATTCAAAACTAATTAATAGACTTTATTTTATTTTATTTTTTTAAGATTTTATTGGGGAGTTGGGGGAGGTGAACAGCGCTGGGGAATCATGGAAGGGGAACAGACAAGTTGCTGTCGTTTTGTTCTTCAGTCTAGTTGTGGAGGACGTCGCTTCACTGGCCCATGTTGGTATTATATTTGCGCTCTTCCTGGGTGAGACAGTCGCTCGCTGGCCATTGGACAGCGACTCA